TCCTGGACGTGTCATAGACGACGAGCAACGACACTTGGCGTATTTGTCGAGTGGTTTCAATAGGTAATAAAAGACTGGATTCCAAACTTTCTTCCCTTTCCATGTAAACAAGTTCGACATTCAGAAAATCTGAATTATTCAGCAATTTTCCCACTCGCGTCGCCAACATCCGCGCGAGCCAAATTTCCTAGAGACGCGCGACGAATTCCGCGCGACCGTCGATCAGCGATCGAGGATCGAGGATCATAGCGAGCACCATCGAGGCATGCGTCGACGGTTGATCTCGTTCCACTGGTCTCGAGGCCTGGTTTTGAATGCTTAACAACGACAATGCCGCGAATCGAACCTGAAACATCGTTCGACCGCTTTACGTAAGCAGTTTCGACAACACAGCGCGCGATCGCAATCGAGGTAACTTTCTCTCGTATCGATCTCAGGTCGGAAAGTCGCATATCTCCCCGGGTACTTGTTCGTCCGTGAAACGGGCTTATGAAAGAGAAGTACTACTCCTATGAAAGGGGAAAGTACAATCCGAGGCGGCAGAAATGCGTTTTCCCTTTTACGCGCTGCCGCTAGCTTCTGCGAAATTTATCGCCGCTTGTCGCACGATTGCTTTGCATTTCCTGCTCGACACGCGACGACGTGCGACCGTTAGCTGCACCTGCAACGACTCGCAGGAACTACCGGCGGTAACTCTTCGTTTCTCAGCCGGTTACCGAGCGAGACGAGTTAATTCGTCGATTGGACAGGCATCTTCTGCCAGTTGGAACAGCGGTGTTTAGAAATCCGTCAGGCATTGGGAACGATGAAATGACCCGTTTGAACATTTTCTGTGCGATGGCTTGGCGAGTTAATTCGTCGGTTGGTTAATCAAGATACGTTTACACGGAACGATTCCCAAGCGAGGAAAGTTTATCAGGGAAAAGACTTTCTCTACTAGACACTTGTTCGAAACAATGATCTAGTCTAATGGACTCGATCATGGTATAGTGCTGTACGATTCAAAGTGTCGTTTTCAAAAATCTCGTTTACGACACCTTGTGGTTCCCTTCGAGATGACAGTGTCGATGTTCCGAATTCATTGCTTCCTGAGTCATCATCCACGGAATCGCGAGGCTTGGCTTCCTTATATACATATATCGAGATGTAACCGAACGGACCGTAAGTAACGCCTGGAAGCACCTCGCCTAACAGTAGAGTCCCGAGGTAGCCATGAACGATTTCCACGCGATTCCAGCGCAAGAGCTCCCCGCCGTGGCTGTTCTCAGCGTTGGAGGATAGCTCAAGCTGTTTCTTCTACGCGCGGCTGAAGTAACTGTAAACTGGTCCTAAGACAGGCCGCGCCCAGCGAGTTGCTCAACTTCGGTAAGTCGAGGAGAACCGGTGTGTCGGAGACGTGGCAAGGCCGTTGACAGCGAGTCGAGAGATCAATCGTTGTCGCGCTTGGCCAGCGAAATCTCTCGTTGGCTGGTCAGCTGATTCACTGGGACGCGAAACGTGACATATCAGCCGTTGGAAGCGATCAGCTGCGTAAGCAACAAACCGATCGTTTGTCACGGCTGAGTTTTACGTTTCCACTCCGTCGCCTGGCGTTTTCTCTTGGCGATCGTGCACCGCGAACGATTCCATCGTTCCCCTTGGACGGATTATCTTCCTTCGCAGTCGATTCGAATCGTACGGTTCGAATCATAGACTAATCAATTTTAGATTCATCTCGAATCAAGTCAAATCAAATCAAGTTCGAATCGTTTTTATGTTAACGGAGCTTTCTCTAAAAAGGGAAAGGGTTTTAGGGATTTTCGTTAAGGTTTGCGAATGTTTCCGAGGTGATTGTAGCACGGTTCCCTGGAGTCTTCTCTGGATCTCGATTTTCTACTGTAGTCGAAATTAAAAATAAAAAAAAAAATAGCTAGTTCGTGTAATAGAGACTGTACCTTCTCCGGTTGTATAATGAATAAAACACGCGACACATTTCGTTCGAATTTCTGGTAGTCGGAAATTACTACCGAGAAAGTTGTCCGTAAAGTGGACTGCACATTCCGCGATGTTCCCACTCCAGCGGTCGTCTGTTGACAGAATCGCAATGTACACGAAGGCTTCTTTTCAAATAGAACGTAATTGCTGGAATAACTTGGCTCGCGTACACCGACTACTGCCTCGAACACTGTCGTCATCTATCACACGCAAACCACGTGATCACAGTCTCGCAGAAACTTCCGATTACACATAACGGAGGTGCTAACGCATGGTGTGGACAAGGGAGCCACGAGGTAGCGAGGTAACAAGGTGTAGCCATACTAACAGGAACATAAACTACCTAAGACTTCTCGATGCGAATTAACCCACATCTCCGCAGAATTCCGACGAGTTCTTTTCGTTTGTAATTTAACTCTCTGCACTCGGACGTCTCTTCGGAGAATATATCGTAAGTCCAGGCGAACTTTATTAGCGAATACAACAGTCAGTCGAACAGCGAACGACATAAAATAAATAAATAGTATTTCACGCGGGTGAAATCGCGGGGCAGAGCTAAGTTATGTAATACGACACCGAGTGCAAAGGGTTAATAATCCAATAAAATTTTGCCTATCCCTGTGTTAGGCTTGGGAAGCCACGTAGCCACGAGCCTTTGTAGAATGACCAAACGAGCGAGATGACTCTCGCGGGACAGGTGCGAATCAGCTCAGCAGCATGGAAAAGCTTCATCCCCTGACGATCGCAGCGTTAATGAGGCGGATCGATTCCAACGAGCCAAGGCCCTTAAGAGCTTTAATTGTTCGGAGCCGCCTTCGCCATTGGAGGTCAAGGTGGAGTCCACGAACGGTCGATACCGCGCGCCTGCGCTCGTGCGAGTTGCGCTTCAGCGGTGGAAACGCTACTATCGGACCGACTATTCCGCAAGAAGAACGGCCGCGATGGGGACACGAGGTCTTCGTCGTGCTCCCTCGTTATGCTAGATGTGCACTCGACGATTTCACTCTCGACGAATCGATATCGAGACCAGAGGGAGTTTAGCAGGGGATTACAGTAGACGCGAGCCTGAGCATGTTGGTGTTCTTAATTGACGTTGAAAAATATTTGTATAACTTTATCGAAATTCAAGTATTCCATTCGAATTCATTTTCTTTGGCACTAAACTTTTATAATTAATTTGATTGATTCTTCAGTGAAAAGCACTGTCACCCATATATGGATGACGTGGAGATCAACGTGTTAAGAAAATAACTGCATCGACTCCTGTTTCTAATATTCACGAAATACCAATTATACCATTCTATGTTACACAGTGGTCGCGTTAAAAATTCTCAAAAAATTGTCCCGTAATTTCAGAGCGGTTAGAAGAGAGATCGATCTCGTATAGGTCTGGGTTTGTCTAGCGCGTAAAATTCGGCGCGCGTAAAAAAGAGCAGTCACGACCTGGGCCAACTCGTCGCGCATCGCGGTAGAACCGTATCTTATCCCCACTGCGAGCAGATGTTCGGCGACCAACTGAAATTCGCGACCGTGCGGCCTTGACTCCTCTCTCGCCGACAGAAAACGTCTAACGAGGGCCCCCTGCGAAACGGAGACCCATTCTCGGAGGCCTCGTTTGGTAGTCTGGTTGCGTTCACCTGTACCCGTGACACCGTCCATCATACCTTGTCCTCATCGAGTGCTGCGGTTTGCCAATCGAATGATAATTCTCCACCGAAATCCCCCGTTCGAAGGAGACTCCCAACTGGAGAACAAAGTCGATGACTCTATAAGTGTCATTGGCTTGGAATGAAGCTGTGACGCTTAGGGAATATGGTCCTTTAAGATATGTGGCGATTACACCGATAGCTACGGGGTCCTCTTCGTTAATTTTTCTATACGCATCGATGAAAATATACATCGTTTGTACTGGGGCAAAATTGTTTCGCGTTATCTTATCGTTAAAAACATGAAGTAACACGATGTTCTTTCGATTACTATACTCGATCACACTTTCCAAGAAATTATTTTCCATCAACGTACGCGATAACGGTTAAATCGTTCTACGCAGACTAGAATCTTACGAGTCATTATTCTTCGCGAAAGTCGCGAAAAAATTCAGTTCGAAGCTATCCATTACGACGAGTAAACTCTCGCCCGTCCAGTTACAAGACGAGTAATTACGTTCTTTCAAAAAATTAACTTGATTCGTCATCCCATGTTCCGCAAGTCTTGCACAATCGGTTGCATAACGTGCAATTTTAATGCCAGTGAGAAATCGCAAACAGCAAGGGGGAAGACATCTGGTCGAACGTGTTGATGATAATAATCAAGTACGCTACCACTAAGCATTCGCTCGTGTAAGTCGTTTCGCTGGCTCGCGAAGTTGTAACACAATTTTTTTTTACATAAACGTGTTCCCCCGACTTAGTAGTTCAGCGTTGAAACCAACGACCGATGAAAGTTGAATACTCGGTCTTATTCGCGCGTCGTGAAATCGGTGTAATAGAACGTCAACATTTTTTAGGAGAAGGAGGACAAAAATTGTTTACGTTTTAAGCGACGCTTGAGTTTAACATTGGTGGACCCTTCAAGCTTTTCTGGTTTCATTAAAAACAAAAGGAAAAAATGTGAAAATGATGAAAATCGGAGGACAAGTTATTGAACGATACATTCTTCCTGCTCTCTGTTTTTCCACGAGAATTGAATTTGAATTGAACGAGTGCGCAGGTACTCGTCAAAGCCGCCATCGTTGCCTACTCGCGCGCTGCTATATATTCATGGCCATTACATCACACATATCGAAGCCATTTAACGCATTGTCGTACGCTAACCACTTCTGCATCTTTGCTAACCGATATATCGTTGAATGTTTCTCCTTCGTTAACGGATACAAAATTGGCTTCGTCGAAACGGCAACGTTCTAACGATCAGAAGAAACTTGGATATTCTAAAAAGACTAGGCACTCGCTCGAGTACGTTAAATAAACCGAGTGTCCATTTGCGATGAAACTTGCCCGATTTAAATTCTTTTTTTCTATTATCATTACTTAATATTTTAATACTTTCCTAATTTCTCCATAGATGAAGTTGCAATGTTCCTTCGCGATAAAAAAAAATGTATGAGAAAATCTATTCTAAAGAAGCGACTCTCGGTACGTCTCCTGCAACCATGACCCTTCTCAAAGAAGAAGACCTCGCCTCCGCGAAATACGAATTCCTCTTAATCGATTAAACGCCGTCTCAAAGTCGAAGCCTGCCTCTGCTCGCTATCTGAGAGACTGAATCGCATGGGCAAACGTTTCTACCACGGTTGAATACTTATGGGGACAACGGTAATTGCTCTGGACGCGAGGAAACTCGGTTTTAAGTGGTATAGACCAGCGGATGATCAGCCCTCCGCGGCCGAACGAAACGTTCGTGCGATCAATCACCGATGAGGCAACGCGTCGGGTTTCTCGCGCTGGAGTCAGCCCCGAGACAACGTGGACGTCAAATTGAAATGAATTACAGGCTGTGGAAAATAACGTCACGGGCAAGGAGCAGCTCGCGTTCCTTCCGGGCAAATACTAGTTTCGCAATGGCCGATCTCGACCACGGGCCGCTTCTCGCTCATTAGTCGCGGCGTCAAACCTTACAAGGTCGGTGTGGCTAGTTTCCCAAGGAGATGCTTAATGAATATACATCTCCCGGCCTTCCGAAGAACTTGCACGCATTGTCTCTCGATGTTTGCATTCTGTGGCTGGTTGGCAACGATCACTTGGCAACGACAAATCGAGAGATTCGCGATCGATTCCGCGCGAGTCCTGAACCGAGGTACTATTTATAGGAAGCTACGGATGATTTTATATGGACTCGGCGATTCGGGAAACCACAACCATTTCTCGTGGAAAACTTTAGCAGGTCTGTGGTATTTAGGGATTTCGAGAAACTCGTTGAATTTCTGTCTCCCTCGGACATTCTTTTTTTTAAGTTTAAATGTATGAAAGTATTTGGGGATATCTACTATTTTTCGATTTCATAATTACACGACTCTTCATACGTGACTCTCTGTGTCTGGTGTGAAAGTTCACTTAAATCTCAATGAAACCAACAAAACGAGCTCGTATCACGTTTTCTGAAATGAATATTTATAGCTACAAATGCAATTCTTCTGCGCCGTTAGCTCGCCTTTTGAATACTCGTCACGTTACACATCGATTCGATTGAAGAATCTCATTTTCAGCTATAAATATTCATTTAAAAACAAAAAAAAAAAGCAAAAAAAAAAACAAAGTGATTTAACTTCTATGTTCCTCTCATCAAATCCATTCATCAGTCGTCAGTGTTTTATTTATCCGCTCTCAGAAGGAGCTAGTAAAACTATCTTTCATGTATTTTAATAAAAACAATTCCTGGATTTCGAGGAACTTAAACGATTTCGTTAATATAATTTCTTGTCAGAAAAATAAATGACTAAAAATTGTTTGTTTCATTCATTTAAGATGATCGCGCAAACCAGAGCCTTCTTAAACATATCTTGGAAACATGTTTGCGTTCGCAGAAACACTAATGGCCACGATTCTGTTTATTTTTCTCCTCGGTGGAAATAATAACAGACTTGAAAAATTAATTCGAGGAATACCGTGATTGTTTTTCACGCGTAAATCGCGTGTTAGTAATCCATCAAGTTCCGCGGGGTTGTACGAGAAACGAGACATCCTTTTAAGCGAGAATGTCGCTGTTGTGACCAAATTCATCCGATATTTTACTCTACTATTCCGCTAATCTATTTCTGAACGGGGCATTCGATGTGTTGCAACCGCGTGAAATGTCGCATTGACGTCGAAAATCTCGAAACAGTTCTCGCTTCGATAGTTGGATTGAAACAAAGTTTTAATTATAGATCCATCGATCGTTGCATTCGATCATTGGCATCGTATATAAGTCGAGATGACATCACGTTATTAGTAATATTATTATTAGACGAAATGGTCTGGCGAAACCTAAACAAAAAATCTCTTCCGCTGATTATGGCGAACAGGAACGATGCTCGAGAATATAGTGCGCCAAAGTAATTTGAATGATGCTTAGGAACGCTATGCGGCACCCTCTACGTGATTCGATTCTCAAACGATGATCGAATAGCGCGATAGAGAGACTATGGCTTTATCGTACCTCGAAAGTATCAAAACAAAGAAGATGGAAAAGGTTTCCTACGTCTGTAGCGTCAGTGTCATGGCCACCGATTTATGTCATGCCTATCATGCACGTGTGTCGGCAATGGAATCGTTTCACGCGTAACTCGATAAATTGACAGCGCACCGTTAGATGCAGAGTCGATTCAAAGAATCTCTGGTTACACATTTTATATAAACACGCATGCGTTATGTATTATGTATCTTTATCTAAACCTAACCCAACGCGTTCTTCCTAGTCGTATCGAGAGTAATTGATTTAATTACGAGGTTGCGTAACCATTGAAATACCGTATTCTGCTGAATTAATTAGAGAATAGACGCGCGGTTTATAAAAGAAAAGAAATCACCGACTGAATCGACATCGCGTAAACAATACGTTATTTAACTCCTAAGTAAACGCAACGCGGAAAAAGTTACGTCGTCATAGATTCCGATTGTTTCTAAAGAATTTCTGTATTAGCGGTGACACAATCCACGACCATTCCGGTGAATGAAGCGTTTAATTTAACGAGATGGCTTCATTATTAACCACGCGACAATTTTAAAGCACTCCTACCCGATCAATTATCGACGATTATACAGCTAATATTCGTTTCCAGATTACTCCGAAGTAAACTTCGCGAGAAAAAAAAAAAAAAAAAAAACCCGCACAATTTGAATATGTAATTCTACGCTCGGCAAATTGTAAGTTCGACAATTTCCAGGGAGTTTCGTAATAGCAAATTTTGTGGAACAGTCGCCGTGACGAGGAAAGGTAAGAAGGAGGAATTAGAACGCATAATTGCACACCGCGCATCGGGGCTGATCCTCGTCGGCGTTGTTGCTGGGCGCACGGAAATACGTACGACAGACATTACGGTGAACGTCAAGTTTACGCAATGTTATTACGTAAGACAGACGGACGTGTCACAATACGACCCGACGTCCCAGAGCTCGAGACGTACGCGTATGTATGTACGTCGTTGGCAATGAATCGAGACATCCGCATCCGCGTCTGACGATTAACACCCGCTGAAAACTGTTTCCCAATTTCCACGAATCGCTCTGGTGCCTGTTCAAAAATAATTGCTGAGAATTTCACGCATCTACGTAGGTTAGTACGCGAGCAGATCGTTGTTCCTGAGTCTCGACTTCGCGGAATAAAATGATAGTATTCCAAGGACAAATGGAAAAATTAGTAATTTTTTTCGCTACGAGTTTATTCCACGGATCGTTATTTTCGCATAGGTGCATATACTATGCATGTATTTAGCGTAGGTCTTCCGTTTGCATAAATGCACGAAACGTATAGTCCAGTTATTAGTTCGCACGATAAACAACTTTTAGCAATGGTGGATAGCCTCGTTAAAAAATTCTGGTCACCGAGTATAGATTCCATCCAGCTCGATATTTGGACGTTCATTTCATAAGAAACGAAGCTTGAGACTGACAAATATCTGTGTAACATACTAAATGCTTGAAGGGATTGAAAGATCTCGTATTGGGAAGATCTGTATCCCTGAGGGGATCTGTCCTCGGAGACTGGTGTCGACAAAATCGACACGGATCGTTACGTATTCTGCTTTTGTTCGAATTACGCAAATGGTATGTAGATTTACGTAATTGATTGGTAGCCAAGTAACGCGATGCCTGTTCCCAGAGATTTTCCAGTAACGACGAAACGAAACGGTGCAAGCTGTTCTACTCGATGCGGTGTATTTAGTGTTTAGTGTAAAAAAGAAATTTCATATTTTTAAGTCAACTGGAAAACTGTAGATTAGGCGAGAATGAGGATTTAGTTAAAGTTTTGTTGCTTTTATTCACAGGAACTTTTAATTAATTAAAAGAGTCCAGTCTTTCTTTAATATTTGAGCGATCGAACTGCTTGAATACTCGAACGCCGAAAAATTTCGCCAAGCAGTTTTTATCGACGAGAATTCCCGGCGGTAGTGCAAATTGCCATGCAAACGCAACAACGAAGTTTTAAGAACTTCGTCGGAAGCCTTGTCAGACTATACCACGCGGTCGTAAAAAGATAGAGGTCGTCGCGTGGACGGGGCCAAACGTGGAATTATTAAACTTAGTTGGAAAGTAAAGTTTAGCTTAAGTTGTTTTTTTTTTTTTTTTTTGCGGAACGAATACATTCTTACTTTCTTTGCGGTTGGAGATAATTAAGCCTCGGCTGAAGGGATTAAAATTAACACGTTCGCTATCAGAAATTTAAAAAAAAAAAAAAAATTTTTTTTTTTTAAATAATATAGAATTCATTTGCTGTGAAAACATCATTTATGCATTTACGATGCAATCGAATGTAAGAAACATGCATTAAATATAGCCAAAAGGTAGATACACTAATGTGCAACGAAATGTTATTACATTAATTGATAGAATTTATTCTAAGTGAGTGATGTTGTATTTTTCGTATGTTTTCCGCGTTAGGGTGTGTCATAAATGCATAAAACCCGCAGTCTAGTAATTAGTGTCTCGATGGAAAGTCTGAGTGTAACAGTTTGAGAGCAATCATTTTCTGTTTGCGGAGTCTGAGTTTGCCTTTGGAGTTGACAGTTGTTATATCACGTTAAGTGTGCTTACGTATCGAAGGTGAATGTCGCGTACCGTAGGCGCTTACTCAGTGGTTACTATTTTCTTCCCGGAATTTTGGAATCGGTTCTCGTCAAGGTTAACGGCAAAAATGGCCCCGAACGCGCCTGACTAGACAGCGGTAAACTCGTTTCCTGGGTGCGAGGCCATCCGTGGCCTCGAATGCTTAATTTGGCCCCCAACAGTCCATTAACAGCGATGGTGCAACGAAGACATCGGACGTTAAAGCGTACTTCCGATATTCCACGAATTCCACCAAGGAAATAATTTCGGTGGTCGTTTCTTGGATTCAACGTTCAAAAAATTCGAGATGGCGGCAGAGAAAGTGCCTCAAATAAATATGAATATTGAGTTCATAAATTAGATAAATATTTTCTGCGTACACCCACTTCCTCATCTCACCACGTTTCCACAGTATCTCTCAAGATGAACAAACGATTACGATGCAGCGTTCTATCGGTGGACGCGATTAAGTCAGCCGCGCCCTGCACGTGCGTCAGACGCTTATGGCCGACATGCTCGAGCAAGGACGATTGGCTAACAATCCGCCAACGGGATTAGAAAAGAAGAAACAAACTCGAAATCTCGTGTCTCCCTAAGAATTTCGCCCACCCTCGGTTTTAATCGCGATTACTCCGGGACCTCGTCGTTCGCCGCGCGTGTCCCTTCGGCCTCGTTCTGACAATGCATCTTCGCTAAAAGAGGGAGGGTGGAGTGCTCTCTATCGAAGACGATGGTCAAGGCTTCCCCGCGTTTCGCAATTCGTGGCTGCCCCGAGGGCCAGATGGAAAATGGTCGTGGTAAAAAATAGTGGAAAGAGCGGATCGCGGAACTAGAAATAAATCTTCCACGAGCGCACGCTCTACTCGCCTCTGTAATGCGCGCGCGAGCGTACATCGTGCTTGCACACGGATATTGTTTCGCGCGCGTGCAGTCAGGGCCACGGTGACCTTACTACCTTCCCCCCCCCCACCCCACCCCCCACCCCCTCGGCCCTCCCGCTGATTGCACCAACCCGCCGACCGCCCCTCGTGGCGACGAAGGACCGCTCCCCGCGGTTCCCCGCCGGTCCCCTGCAACGCTGCACTTCGGTGGGCTCGCAGGTCGGCTGAGGGGCAAAGGGAGGGGCACGTGCCACCGATGACGTCACGTGGTGTGCACTGCGACGACGGTGCAACGCCGGCGCCGGTTCTCGCGGCTCGAGATCTAGGTCCATGCGGAGGCGTGCGTCGCGATGTCTCTTCTGCGCAGTCGCAACACATCTCCCCTCCCCCACGTTCCCTTCGTTTGACTGTATTCCCCTCGCGCGGTGCATAGAGGCTAGACAGAGACGAGGCTCCGCACAGGAGCAAACGTCGCTGTACGAACTCGCGTTTTTCGATCACACGAACGCGATGGAATGTTAACGACGACCGTTGCATATCTGTCACAAATGCACGCGTCTCCCGAAAGCTGAGCGGTATCGAAGGCTACGCCAAGAATAAGCCTTTTTCACGAACAGAGGGGAAATATGCTCGTGAAACATAAAAGCATATGGCCGTCGACAGACTTTTATCCTTTTTGTTGGATGACAGAATGACCATGCGAGATGTTACGCGATGATATCTCGAATCCTTTTTATCTTAGGATGCAGATATTTGTGAGGTGAACCAAGTACGAGACAGAGTCGAGGAAAGAGATACGCACAATAGGGATAGCCGAGTCCTGGAGGAGTGGTCCCCAGAATGTTGACCTCTGCTTTGTAATGCACATTCCTAAAGAAGAAAGAGTGTCACTTATTTAGCTGACGAAGCTGCATTCCTTTCTTACAACGCAGAACTACCAAGGACAGACACGAGGAAGTCCACTGTAGCGTGGCTCCCAAATGGTCGCCCAAGGCCACTTCCTTGACTGTGAAACACGCCAGAATACGTCTATTTTTACGCCAGGCTAACTGGCCCCCCGTTTTGAAACAGAGAGGACCAGTCTGCGCTAATAGGTACGATAGAGCTAATCCCTGACGAAGCCGCCACTGCAACACCGCGTTGCCGTACAAAGGATGGAGAAATACGCGGAGGCTAACACGATTCAGGATCCGCGGAGCGTGGATGAAACGATGTTTACAAGCATAGCTGACGCAAAGTCTAGATGACACAGTTCAGATGAGAAACTGACCGAGTGGGTGCACTACGATTTGTACAATCATGGTTAATGCGAGTGTTTGAACAATACTCGCCACGTGGAGGATGTTAGGTTGCTAGGCGTACGACGCGAACATGCCGCTTTTGTTGCAACTCGACATAAGAATTACAACAGAATAAATCGGCGCATGAATAATAAGAAGACCATACTGCTCCACTTGGATGGATACTTTCCTTCGATAAGAACACATATTTGTTTTAGGTTCCGACTAAATTACTGTTACGAGGAAGGTGGTCGAAAACCTCAACGACCTTGACAACCTGCAAAAAACCACCCGAATCGAGCATGTAATCCAAATCAACCACAGACCTTGAGAGTCTTCCGCTTCCTGTTCACTGCGTTCCTGACAAGCGCAGACGAATTTCGACGAAATCATACGTGGCCGTCCAATATGTCACGATAACGTCAATGTTGCAGCCACGCTATCAACGTCATTAACGTTATCTCCTGGTAGCGATTATGCGTGAACAGTTCCGAGAGATAAGGATACAAAAGAAAGCAGATAAGAGGCGCGATGCAACCGGTGTTTCCCTGCAGGTGCGCGTGCAATAGGAATACGCGTGAAAGATGAGGACAGGATGGCAAACGTGGGCAAAATTGATACATGAATTTCGATTAATTACTGTACTCTGCTATCAGGGCTGAAGAATGAAAATGCTGGAGGACCAAAACGTTTGTTACACGATTCGAGGCTGTGTCTGCACTTCCCACCCGCCCTTCCCTTCCGTACGTTCAGAGTCCAGCTCGCAGGCGTCGACATGAGAACCGCTTCAACGCGAGTGAATGCAACCTTGGACCATAGACGCAACTCTTTTCCGTATATTAATACAACTGCAGTTGATAGCAATGTTTGAACGATTGCTTTGAAGTATCGAAGAAATCTGCTCGACTGATTGTTACCACCAACCATATTTTTTTTTTTTTTTTTGAAAAAGCACCCTATCGTCAAGTACAAGAACCGACTGAAAAGAAATCGTTGCCATTGTTCCTATTAAAAACCGAACGCGTAAAGGAGTCTACACGGTTGCAGAACAACCTGTTGTACGCCTCGTGTTGAATGGCAGCGCACCGCTGACAAGCAACGTTGCAACTCGATGCACAACTCGTCGTATGATAAATCATCGCGTCTATGGTCCCTATTAATAGCCGTTGTACTGGCCGTCGTACGACTCGGCCACGTTGCACGGCAGTACGGCACGGACGTGCAGCTATCGTTGCAACCCGCTCCTCGTCCAATGATAAATCGTCCCAGTCCGCGATCTCTGCCACGCTCGAGCTCCAGAGGAGATGCTAGGGGATCTCGAACGACCTTGATCGCCTACCACGCCGGATATCTTCGACTCAGGTGAATTGGGTCAGGTACGCGTGGCCAACACGCTTCCAAGTGAAAGTGGCAGCCGGATCGAAAATTATGTACTCCCGCTTCGAAGCTGTTGCACGAGCCACCCGGTTGCTGCCCGCGCGAAGAATTCCAACGGTACTTTGACCAGGTCGCGTTCACCGGAGATGAATGAGACCGAATGAGACTTCGCGGTCGGTGAAAGTAGGAGGAACCTTCGGCTAACTGGGTTACGAATGTTCTCGACGATCCCTGGGACGCTACTTGGCATTTAAACCTCGCTAGAGGATGAGCATTCGAAAGTTGAGGGTTTTCGTTACGGCTACAGTCTCAGACCGAGTAATTGTGGTCAGGGTCGCGGGATGAACTTTCCTGGGACTGATCGTGGACGATGTTGGACGAAGTAAGATACTTGGGAGTGGTGGAGTGGTTTTTAAGAAATTTGGGACATCCTACGTTGTTGAAGACTGTCTCCCAACTGTTCACCATGGAACCTCAGCAACCCCCTCTTTCCACTCCTTCTTCCAAAACGTCCCCCAAACTGGCCAGCACGGTAGTGCAACCATTTCAAGTAGTCCGTGACGACTGAAGGTAGAATGTCGACTCACCTGTTCGCTCTCGTAGGTCGCGCAGTTCGTGGGTCCGTTCTCGATGGGGTCGCGGTTCCCTTTCGCTCGGATCTGAAAAACCATAAGGGGAGTGCGTTAGCGCAGGCCTTCCGTTTTCGTCGGTGGTGCTCAGCTCTCAGCTATTTTCGGACCCAGTCGGACCGATTACGCCCCGCGGAGCGCGCGCCTAAGTTTAGCGCACGGCGATAATACCCCAAGGTTCAACTTGTTAGCCATCTTACGAAATACCGTAAAACACCGAGCGCGTGTTTACATCCTTGGCTCGGTCGCGGGTTATGTCACCGCCATGGACTTGGCACGGGTTGCATCGAGGAGTCCGCGATGCAGTCGCGTCGACGTGAGTTGACGACCTAAAACGTCGTTGAGTTGTTTGGATTAGGCGATTACTAGGTGTAAGCTTGAGGGCCCACTCAAGGAAACCTAATAGCAGTGTTGAATAAATAAATGGTTGTTACAGAACTCAACACTTGATCCGATATACGACACGGTGACTACTTGCTGTTGCATGATTGGAACAAGAACAATTCAATTGTCCCTGAATTTGAAGAATCCTTGATTCTAATGGTCCATGAATTTATCGTGATTGTCCATTTTCGCAGTAAAATATTTCTTCGGTAGTTAGGAATCGTTGAATTTATGAAAGAAGTTAAGTAAGTAAGTACTTACACCAGTAATCGATACCTGAGTAAAGAGGACGGAATGGAGTAACCAAATGAAAAATTCTATCATCGATACAACAACAAATGAAACTAAATATGACCAGATGCAAGTCTTTCAGATAATACTCATTGTGTGGAATAATGCGACACGTGAGTCACTGTGGCCGCGTGTTTCACCGGTCAGGGACGAGGCTCGTGCCAAAACCTTTGGCGGTCGATCGATCCTCCTCAGTTCTCACCTTTCCGTCTCGTATTCTGATTACGGGCAGTGATCGATACGCGTTACGAAACGACGAAAGTCAAACGTGCGTTTCGTCGCGGCCACGTCGAAAAGAGAAAACTTCTCCGGGAATCTCTGAATGCGCCTCACGCCGATAACGGTTGTGGCCTTGCCACGCTCCAACGATCGGGGAATCTCGCCGCTGGTTCGCGTTCAGATTTTCATTTAGATCTGAACTCCACCTGCGATCCAACGATTACGAGTTACCGTTACCTCCCGAACGAGCCTTCTGAATTTTTACGAGCTCGGGCACACGGGAAAGAATTCGAAATCGTTTCACTTCGGTACACGAAACGTTTCGGTAGTCGGAGATATCGAAACCTATTAGTCTATTAAAAACTTTAAGAGTAGTTTCAACATGGAAATTTAGATGGAAAAAAGCACTGCAAATGTCCCTAGTTTAAGACAGAATTGAATAAAAATATGCAAGCATATCCTCTGGTTAAGTAAGCTAGACTTCAAGATATAATACAGACAGTGGTACTACAGTTGGGCTCGTTAACGAGACTTATCTAATAAATCCCGTCTAAGACACGACGCTATTAGTCGTATGAATAATTTGTTCGAACTAATTACGTACTAATAAAGTATCAAGTAATTGCAGACTATCCTCGCGATTAATAGTGTCACTTGTAGATAAGCCTCACCGATGAGTTCGATGAGATCCAGGACGAAAGTGGTATCACAGTCACAAGAGGATTCCTTTCACAGCTAAATAGTTGCTATTTACTAAACAGTCCACGGCCGCGGTTTCTCTGCAGAGAGTAGGCGGCATGCATACCGATGACTCAATTTCAAATTCCCCTGTTCTCAATTTTTCTACAGCTGCATCCAGTTTCCGCGTTCCTAAAATCTCAGCTCGGAGAAGCGATCGTAACAAATATCGCGGCGAAGCTGTTTGGTAAACATATTCGAGATACGGGTGAAACTTCATCGCAAACAGATGCTGCGTAATCCCCAGATAACTACGCGTCGCAATACGCAGCGAGATTCCTCGTTCTTTGGTTCGGCGATCGACGCTGGATCCCCATCGACGCTGATCCAAGGATGAGTTCGCAAAATCGCGATGCATAATTATGAAACTCATCTCGAACGCTTGCGAGAGAAAGAAGATGAGTTTGGTGATTTAATTAATTAAAATAGACCCCAAGAGTGAATAATTCACGAAGGAAGGAGGTGCATAATCGACGAAGTATGTATAGCGTAGCTAGAAAGGCTGGATGCAGGACGCAGGATTTCTATCTCCGGGTTAGATAGAGTTGGAGACGCGTATTCGGGGCGCAGCTCGTCCCTAGGGATCGGAATCGAGGCCACGAATCGCATGCATGCGGCGTGCGAGGTCCTCGAGGCGCGTTGCGCCAGTATCTTACGCAACCCGACACTTTGATCAGTCTCGTTGACGTTAATTAATTGTAAGCCTCGGATGCGGAAGGAGTCACGGGGGAGATAAGCTCGCCACGTCTTGGGAGCGATTTAACTGCGCGTCCAGCTTGGGTGATAACCTTCGAGCTTTCAGGATCTGCGAAAAATTGTCTTCGTTTGCGGAGTTTCGCTGTAGGATCGATGTGTACGGAGTTTAATTTATCGAGTTGCTGAGTAGAGATTACGATTCGCAGGTCTAGATCCGAGAACGTATTCGTTGAGACAATTGATCGTTATCAAGTCCAAGGTGGACCTTGATACCGATCTCGGTACTCGACCCTTTAAGATTGCAGCGTTATCATAATGGAATGGTAAAAGATATAAATTTCTAATTCATTCAATTGCGAAGAACGAAAGAAAAGGACGTTATCTTTCGAGGCGGGTTTCGATACGGACTTTTTCAAACTAGTCGCGGAGAGGGGTAGAGTCCAGTCAACTACCGTTCCGAGAATAAAGAATCGTCATCGTTCGCCGACAATAGATTGCCCGGTTCCTCGGCCAAGTTAAAAATAACCACGACGATTGACTGCTACCCCCGCTAATAATATAAAACCGTCGTTCCTGGAATCCCGCGGACGGAACAGATAATTCCCTGGATCGCCTCCCAAGGCCAAGTTCATCGACTGGGGATTAAGCGTTGCAACAGCGAGCGTGTTGCACTCGAATTTATCAGATAACGACGCCGATCGATCGCGAGAGGCAAGAGGCGCGAGACGGCCGTTTGCTCACCTTCTTCTTGCGGGGGTGCTGCTCCTCGAGGTAATCGGGGACTATGCCCTCGTCGAGGGTGGTGGTCGAGCCAGGGGTGCTGCTCGACGACGAGCCGGACACGTTGTAGGGGTAGTGTTGCTGATTGTGCGCAGGATGAGCCGGTGTCGGCCATAGAGAGCCCGTTGTCGGTGCCCCTTCGTCGCTGAGGGGTGGACTGGGGGTGCCACTTCGCCATGAAGCCCCGCTGCTGCTGCTGCTGCTGCTGTTCGACGTGCCGCCGACTCCTGGTGAGCCGGCGACGACGCCGCCACCCCCTCCTCCTCGACCTCCCCAGGAACCTTCGAGAACGGAAACGGAATTTTCGATTAATTAATTATCTGGTCGGAGACCCCCGCCACGGGATCGCGAGGGTAACTTCCCGATTGGTGGACCGTAATTATCGTTGCTCCAAAGTATCGGGAATAGAGCACGTTTTAATTCGGTAACTACAGAAAACCTCGCAGAAATAATATTCAAAGTACGTACCTTCGACATACAGTCAGTCCCGGCCGACTGTACGTTTCAACCATTAGACATTTAGTATCCAAAAATTCCCGTGAATATTTCTCGCTTCGAAAACAGCTACGTTCCCCTTAACAAAAAGACTCATTCCGATCTAAAATCTACATGCATATTATGTATCTTTTACAATTAAAATGTCATAAAAACTCCACTCTGTCCCCACGATTCTTTTACGATCACCCGAATTTGAGACAACGGACGAAGATACGTCGAATTAGAGGCCGCGATACGTAAATTGACGACTTCCCCCGAGATGAAACGCGATACCCAACGCAACGAGGAGATCGTGTTTCGGTGGTGGTAATTCGCCGGCTGAAAGGCTCCTCGGTGAAAGAACAACACGCGGGAATAAAATTAGGATCAATTGCCGTGTTCCCGGTATTGGTAAGCACTCGCCGCATGATACTGACCGTAATTGTTTTGGCAGTGAAGTGGCAGGGGATTGTGAGGACTGTGTGGCGAGCATGAGAGCGACATGAGGACCAGCGCGGCGGTGCATTCGTCCATGCAGTCGCCGCGCTCGTTGGTACGACAACCCTCGCGACCGCATCCATGGGGTATTCGCTCGTTCCAACCGCTGTACAACCGTTCGGAATCGTTGCTCGAGCTTGGTCGCCGCTTCCTGGATCTGAAACCGTCATAATCGATATTCGTGAACGTTGCCACGCAAATTACTACTTCCACGGTGACCCCGTTCCATCGGTAACTTGAAAATTACGACCATACGGGATTAATTCGTTTGCATTAGAAGGGGAAGAGACGAAAATTCGTTTTGATCGTTATCGTAGAGAAATTTGTTCATCGAAAGAGACTTTACTGTACTTTTATTTCATCGAGAGAGCGGGACTACTACGCTACTGAATATTGCGTGTGGACTGGTCATCGTAGAAAGCGAATTACTTAAAAAATATCAATTGTATTTATAAAGAGTAACGCAATTGCTCCAATTATTATTGTGTAAATAAATGTCCAATTTTATTGCACCCTGACGAGAATTATCACAGCTAGCAATTCCTGCGTCGCTGGTCCCGCGGACGTTGACCAGCGCGCCTCCGAGTGTCAATAAAATGGCGGGCCCGTTTAATACCTGAACCCTTTCGCAGCGCACCGATCCCATAAATGTAAAACGTTGGCTAAATCGATGGGGGAATAGCGGGCACGAGGAAGTACTCGGCCAGTTATGAGCTCTCTTCGAGGATTAGCCTCGAGCGGTGACCGTCAACTACTGTTTCCAATAGTGTTGCGTACACAAACGCACGGCCAAACGATCAATTCGATGACGGAGAAGGAATAACAGAGATTAAACCGGTCACGTAACACTCATTCGACGTAACACAGCGTAACGCAACGAGATTAGGTGGACGAACACCCATCCCTACCCCCAAGAGGAAACATTTTTTTTTTTACAAGTTAACGCTCGTCCGTGTGTCCCGGCAATAAGAGACCTTGTCGTCCGTTAGATAAAAAAGAAAAAGAAGTAATAACCATCCCCGTACGTAGAGAGGAGAACAATGGTCGCGCGCTGTTTGTTCCTGGAATTTCGCGCTTCTGCGATTACGTAAAATAATGCTTTTCCAGCCGATATTCCCCGGGTAGCGCGGCAGGTCGTTGCACCGTAATGTTTCTAATGGCCGACGACGGTCTCTGAATTACAGTTTTCCGAGAAACGCTGTAAAGATGGCCAGCGATAACGCGCTGCCAGGCATCAACCTGTTCTCGTAGATTGGTACCCTGATCGTTTTATTTTTTTCATCCCGTGCAGTAGTACTTTCTTTGTTCGCGACTTCTGAACGACTGGTTAACATGTCGACTATCGCGCCGCGCTCATCGGGAGTCTTGACGGATCGCTGGTCGGTCGTGGTGAATGAAAAGAACGGAGTTTAGATTTTTGATGCCATCAATTATCGCGTTCTGCGTCTAGTTTCTGCGTGGATATATCTTCTCCTTCGGATTACCATGGATTTCAAATATACCTCAGATTTTAATTAATCTTCTGCATCAGTCGCACGATGCTTCAACGACTCAATTACATTCGTTAGAAATTCTAGCTATTGTCGCGATTAACGCGTGTGTCGCGCAGGAAAAGCGTACGCGGTAACGTGGCGGTTAGAAAAGTCGCTATGCCACTTCTCACGATTGAAATTTAAATAACGAACGCGAAGCGGGCAACCCGTGACGAACACCCTTGATACACCGTTCCAGCGAGTAGATCGAATGTTACTCGCAGGGACACTCGACACCGAGCAATCAATAGAAACCCCGACTTTCTAGGAAATTACGGGGTAAATTTTCCTCGTTATCTGCACCGATCGGATATCAGCTGGTCCGAGGAATCGGATCGATATCGACGTCCCGCAAGGTAACATCGACTGATAACGTCGACGTCAATCTTTGATAATAATTCGCAACACCTTTCGATATTTAATATCTTTCGTGCAAGATACGATGCACACGATGTTTCTGGATTATTTCTACACGATACCGATACAATTTCTGATACAAAGGCTGAGGAGACAAAGTAAACGATGTAACAGGTACTTTGTTCCGAACGAGACCCGATATTTTCAAGGTTCAGGACCTTTCCTCCGCCAAATGTTGCTCGGTATCGCGAAAAATTCTGTACAGATGGAGACACTTCGCAACCCGGCATCACTGTACAAAACGCAAAGAAATCATCGAGCAACGTCCCAACCAGGCGTTAGCTTCTGGTTCCGCGAACTTTCTACAAACCAGGCACCAGGTTTCACCTTCGCGACGCTCTTTCTCCAGGGGGAGGTCCGCGGAGACTTTCATGCCGTGACTTTTGAGACGGAACGCGGTTCTCCAGGTAGCTACAACATACGGGGACGCGGAACAGAACGTTGCGGGCCCCGTCGACAGGCGTGCACACCGAAGGACAAGCTCTACGTACGCGATATTCCGCGCGAGTGGGGAGGAGAACACGACGCGAAACGACGTAGTCAAGGCCGCGCCGCTTAGCCGTTCCGCTCGGACCGGTACATCGAGAGTCGAAAGTGAAACGTCGCGTTAGCCAGCGCAAGGAATGACGCACGAACTAGACGGTATTTCGAAAGTAACACCTTCTGGATACACACGCTTCGCCGTCCCGTTTTCGTGCCGCTTGCGCGTTCGCCTAACCCGAAGCTCGACACCCGCCAGCGCTCGAGGTTGATTAACCTATCGAGAAGGGGGTGGAAACGAGCCCTACGAGCTTTAGCGAGCAAGTTCTCGTGGCTGGCGATAGCATCCATTGGAATTGGTTGGTAACGGTTTGGAGAAGCAAGCGATATAGAATTAATTGTTCCCAGTAGCTCGGGGACTTCTCAGAGCTCTGATGATTTATCTAACTGGAGTTACTTTCGATAAACTACGGTTACGAATTCTCTCCTGCCAAGAAACCCACGATGCAACGTTAAAGATCCTATTCGTCCGAGGCAAATGGTAATCTTCCCGTACCGATTGTCGCAACATTCTCTCTTGAGCGCCGGTGGGAATCGCGCATAACGGGCCCGAAGGCTACGCATGAAAGTCGAGAGCAGAACAGAGCCGACGGTAGGTCGATAATTACCGTCGAATCGCAACAGGTAAGCAGGAGGCAGCCACGGGGAACAGCGGAAGATACCGTCGTGTGGAAATGTGGATGAGACACTGGGAGGAAGGGTAACCATTGGGCTTCGAGGGAGCCTGTGTACCGTTAAAGCCTCCGCGAGCCGGAACCGAGGATTCGTTACGCGATAATCGCTTGAACAAGTTAATTGCGTGCGAACGTTGTCGACCATCTGGGCAAGGAACCTCGTGAGAGGGAGCACGATGCGACACGAGTTGTTTATTCGCGACAGGATGACTCTGATTACCTGCAGTCGACGCTACAGACGCTAGACAATGGACCCTTGGGCCATTGACCAAGTTGCCTTTCTTTTGCTCGTGGCCGAGTTAGATAGAATCTATCTGTAAGTCTGAGCGACTGATTCAAATTGTTCTTTCTATGATTTCAGCCTCGATACAGGAGCGTGTGTTTTTTATTTAGCCAATATACCAGGTTTACTTTTCGATAAGCTACCACCTGGTATCCAAGTTCCCAGCCACCGAAATCTTTGACAAAACACTCTCTCCAAGAAGGTCCAACCTCCACTCCCAACCATGGCCCGCGAAAGTCCCAAATGTCCCCGAGAGTTCGCGCGTTGGAAGCCGTTTGTCCTCGCGTCAGTCGATTTAACTAAAGAGACGCCGCGTGCCGGGTCGGCTATCTCTCGCAAAAGACTCTCGACAAAAACAAAAGAGAAAGTAAATTGCCCCGATACAACGCCCCGGATGCTTGCCCCTGGCTCGTACTTGGACCGATCGACCCACTCAACCCGGTTGGGGATAATCTTCCGTCGTCTCTGTCCCTCCAGAGTCCTCTTTTTCTGCTGTGATCACGCAAGGGGGGATGGTGGACGAGCTTTGCGAGAAAAATTGGAGCGTGGGAAAGGGAGTGACGATCGATCGACCTTCCTCCGATACGACTGCGCTCGCTGCCAGGTTAGACGCGCTGGCTGCGTTCTCCGAGCAAGGTAACTATCGTTGGCACCCGAGGAGAATGTCTCTCGGAGGATCTCCCGGTGTCCAAGAAATATGCGAAACCAGTGGCTCGCTTCTCGGTAGCTGACGTTGTTTACCTTCTAGCCAGTTTTAGGATCTATGCTTTACTTCGTCGAGGTCACTCTCTTTTTTCGTGATAACCACCGTGAAAGTTGGTCGATGTAATAATTCCCCATTGCAAGTTGGGGATTATATAAAATCACCGGTGAATTTGATAAATATTCCAGAATTGGAGTCTTCGGTACTTTGTCCTTTAAGTCAAGAAGAGTCCATCCTAAATTCCTGTTTGAGCCTGGCCAAATCCTTAACTCGCAGATCTACGAGAACCTTCGCATTCCCGTCCTCTCTTCCTGGCCTGATGTTCGAGTCCAGCCTCGCACCTCAGATGCATCTGTAGCGACATTGGAACAGACAAGTATCGATTCGAGGAATTCTCGTCAGTTGCCAATAGCAATTCATGCGTGTCTCGCTCTGGCAAGCCTAGGGGCTCGAATTTACCGGCGGCAATTATTCAAATTCACGGAGCAGAGTTTTCCAACGTCTTTGTCTCCGTTGCAGCAGCTGGCAGAAAACGCAAATAAAACGTTCGCATATTAACGAGCAGCGTTATCGTCGCACGGTGACGTAACGTTACGCAACGCGTTCCAACGAAGGACAAGGCCTGGTGCAAGTTCTCCGCGACGAATCGATGAACCGGAGGATCGTAAACGCTGCGACGACCCTTGGATCGATGTACACCTTAAATCGACCGCGATCACGTGTAGCTGGTTACCTTCGATAACGCGACGAGTCTAGAAATAAAGCTAAGAGACGCTATGTAAAAACTGATGCTTGTGACTACTTGTTTAAAATAAAAATTGAGATGCTTATCGTACAGCTGTTAAGCAAAACTATGAAAGAGACGGACTATGAAAGAGAGTCTAGTAATGTTTGAAGAGAAGGCAGCTCGTGTTTTCGTCGATTTTCAAGCCTAACGACACTACAGCGTGGAGAACCGTGTACGTACAGTATGCGTTCCTTCATCTTCGATTTAATTTGACCTCGACG